ATAACTGTTACGATTAGAATTATTCCTATTATGGTAATTAGTGTTATTGTTATTATTGGTATGGGTCTTGTTATTCAAGCAGTATGCACGCCATGCACTTGGCGTCTAATCTTGCTTGCGCCGACGCCAATGCCTTTGCTTGTGTGGTTCGTAGCTTCATGCCGATCTGGTCGCACAACACGGCAGCTTGGCATTTGCACTTAGCAATCTGCAAGCTATGTGTCACATGACAGGTCGCACGAATCGCGTATGACCTGCAGAAGTGGAGCCCTTAGAGGATGCTGAAGACCGCACCTAAGCTTAGTCCTGATGCCCTGAGCTTTGAGACATGCGACGTGCGGCCGGCATGCCCAAGAACTAGTTAAAATCTATGACGATCTGGATGGATATTTGAAAAAGTCGAGTGTGCACCCCAAAGCTCCGGTCATGGGCTCACAGTCCCAGGCCGGAGGTAGCGGTGAGATACCGCTCAGATGAACCTGTCGTGCACTCAGAAGTCAGACGTTCGGTGAGCAGTAGCTCACATCCTTGCGGACCGTAGGGCTGACTTTTCGAGATTTGGGCGACGGCATGACGGGATTCTGGAGAGATTTCGAGGTCGGTGTGGACATGAAGACCTTGTCCGACCTGGCTGGGAAGGCACAGCCCCCTTCGGAGTTGTCCGTCCTTCCCAGCTTGCATTTTGGGGCTGCAGGCTTAGCGTATTTCCTTGAAGAGCGCAGGCTCGCAACGACTACAGCAGCCCTCACATGTATCTATCAGCATGTTCTTGAAAGCACGTCGAGGGATGCTTATGCCCAATATCGATAAGTAGAACCCGGGCTTGAGACTTGGCTTTGGACAACGAGGCCCCGTCTCCACGTACAGTACATCTTATGGCCGTGATGATGCGCATGCAGTCGCTATCACGGCAGTTTTCTCCAGTCCATGCTGCCAGTATGGCTACTTCAATCTGTTTCAAATGTCCATTCAAGCTACATTGACAGCACTGCTACATATGCTGTCGTGCCGTGTGATCACGCGTGCTTTCGGAGCGAAGGGTAGTGTGGTGACCGAATGTTTTGGCATGCAAAGAAGGGGGTTAGCAACAGTAGTAACATAACATAGCATCGCCAACTCTTAAGGCAGCTGCTTGCCAGTATGTGTGTGTCTGTGTGTGTGCGCACATGTTTGTTTTCATTCGTGTGTTCGGGGATCCGATTTCTTCAAATTGCACTCAGCATCGGCTATGCCGCCCAGCAGGGGCTCTTACGGACTGGCCTTGCGACTCTGAAAGTCAGACGGCTTGCGGTAGTTTTGGGATGTTGCAGGTGTTTAGAAACATGGCAGAGAAACTGAAATAAAGCTGCGAAAACCAGTCGAGCGCCGACAAGAGCCTCGGAGCGACATTGCAGGTGCGTGGAGGGAAAGTAGATCGCGCGACGGCGGACCTGGTGCTCGAGGCCATCAGGGTCTCAGAGTCTGTGCACTGCTGCGAGATGCTAACACAAGAGTTCCACAAGACCTCTCAAGATGGGATTTTTAGGAGTAATGTAGGGCTAGACAGCCTTTTACAAGGTTTTCATCATGCTGTCGGGTTTTGTGGCGAGAGCCGTGCAAGTCCGTGGGCTGCCTTCGCAGGTGCTGGACGTGGCGGATCCTAGTGGAAAGTTGCGAAGCAAAGCGAGCCCGAGTTTCAGTCACAAAGAAGGCATTTAAAGCTGATGTAGAAGCCCGAACAACTACGACTAGCACTCCGCTCAAAGGTTATTTATAGCATAATTAACCTCACAGCCGCATTCTAAGTCATTCATAGCCATTCTGACTATCAAGACCACTGTATTGATTTCAAGCAGATGACTTCGCCCGAGGCTCGGGAGACTGGGCGGAGCAAGAGGCCAAGGCAAGGGAAAAATGTCAAAGTTGCAGTTTATGTACGTATATATATATATATATATATATATATATATATATATATATGTATATATATATATATATATATATATATATAATATGCACATAGTGTGTATGTGAACTATACATGCACCCTCTCGATATGTAAATATACATATATACATGTACATATACACACATATATAGATGTATTCATTTATTTATATTTCGTTTTCTCAAAATATATGTACATGTGTGTATTATGTATATATAATATGTGTGTGGAACATGAGTCACTTCAGAGGCCCAGAATTTCCGTTCGCTGGGTCGGACGAAGGGGCTTTGGGGAGCAGACTCCGGAGGTTGCCCGTGGCTTCGACGACCCTTTCAGAGTACTCACATACAGTAGTACATATAGACTGTTACATACATCTGTATACATATATGTATATATGTACTTATATACACATACATACACGCACTATGCCTGGTGTATATTGGGCTGTCCAGGCAGAGGACGGCTGGCAAAAGGCTGGCGGCAGCCGCGGCAAAGCATGGCAAGAGTCGGGATACGATGCGCGGGACAAGCAGGGCTCGCGAGGTGGGAAAAATGGCTACTCAAACAGATCTGGATCAGAGCACAGTGGATGGAATTCCGGCTGGGATTCTTGGAATTCCTCCACCAACGCTTCACAGGCGTGGAGAGGCCGGGAAGAGTATAAGCGGTTGGACCGTGCACAGTGAAGAGAAGGCGAGTGTAGTGTAGGATCCGGTGGGAACCACCGGCGCAGGTGATGCAAAATCTTCTCGGGGCAAAGGCAGATTCCGAGGTGGGTAATTTTCAGCAAGTGCTCTGTCAGGAGTAGTGGATTGACACGCGGAGACTCTTTCTTCACTGACTCATTGCAGGCTGAATGTCGACAGAAGCTCCGGCATTTTTTGAAACTTAGGGATACCGGGTCGGAACAGCGACCCATGCCTTTTGAGCATTGTCCGTGTGGACTCATCAGTAGAAATCTTGTGTGCAGAGCCGGAGGCTGCTTCAGCTTTGCACGATTTGCATGGCCTGCAAAGGTCGTGACCTGATAATGGCCAGCGCATTCTGCGAAAAGACCTGCCACTCACCATCCTGCTGAGGCTACTTTATGGGGCCCTAAATAGTTACCTATAGTATCTTGGGAGTTCCTTATTATACTTCAGGTATACTGGGCCCCAAAACCCCTACTAGGTGCTTTGCAGGGACAGAGAAGTCAGGAACGTCTAACCGCGTTGGCTGACAAGGAAGCGCGGATGAAAGACCAACTCATAAAACTAAGCACAAAGAAAGCGATCGCAGACGTGTGTTGTGTAGTACGCAAAAATTTTGCAGCATTGCAGTGCAGGTTGGTTGATAAGACTGCAAATCGAGGAGCCGACCCTGGAGCCATGTTCAAGCGCAAGTGCAGCTTCACAGAAGCGAAGCACCTTGGAATGTACGTCCAGCAGTACACCCAACGAACGCAAGAAAGGACTGACAGCCCACGCCCAAGCGACAAGCACACAAAGAGACTGCCAGAGACCCGCGCTCTTCCCATACACTGGGGCAAGTGCAGTCGCAGACTCCCCGAAGCCGAACACCATGCTCATCGAAACAGCCAGACCCCCCGTGCACGGAATCCCATGGAAGCTGATTCGGGCGAGAGCCCGGAGGCAGGCGAAGATTGACATGTCAGGCTGTGTTTCTTGGGCAATGGGGCATGTAACTGGCATCCCAAAGTTGTCTCTGAAGGGATGGACCAGTGCTAACAATCGTCATCTTTGCAGTAACAGGGTCACATACCCGTAGTGGTCATCCACCATCATGTACCTATACCCTGAGTCATCCTCAGCTGTGTGTGGATCGGTCCGAAGGCGGATCTTCAGCAGAAGTATATAGGGGCTTACCATGCCAATAACCGTACAACAGCGACAAGGTTTTGTTCAACCTTCAGCGTTCCCTAGTGAAGAGCGCAAGTTGCTGCTTCGCGCCTGCGGATCATGTCGAAACTCCACAGCTTTGGAGCCCTAAACCCCTAACCCCTAAACCCTTAAACCCAGGCAGGGTGGGACTTGCTTTGTGCAAGCCGAAGTCTTCAACATCCAAGCCAGAGTTGAGAGGAGCCAAAGCCCTCAACCGGAACCGCCGAAGCCTGCACCGTAGAAGCCTTGCAGAACTCGACAAAATCCCTGCAAAAGCCTCGAAACCTCAGTAAACGGACTTAAGGAACACTTAACCTTGTCTATGTGCATATAGATAATATGTCTACATATATATTATATATGTATACACACACATAGGGTTAAAGTCTACATATTCCGACCGAAGAGAGCCACAGCAAAAACAGGAGCTCGCTCGCCTCCGGAAGGAGCGGTCGCTACTGCTGGGGGAAGCTTGGCCCAAGAGGTTGTGAAGGGACTTTAGTGTTTTTTTTTAGACAGGGTTTGAAAGGTGTTTAGGGTTCCTACAAGGGTTTCGGGCTTAGGGATTTGAGGATGGAGTTTCGGGTTCCTGCAAGGGTTCTATAAGAGTCTCAAACTGCATCTGCGGGTAGCTCAAGGTCATGGTTTGAGCACGGATTTACAGGAGTTCTACCAGGGGTCTCTATGGGGGTTTGGGGTCAAATGTCGTTTAAATTTAATTTGAATACATTTACTGCTTTGTATAGGGTTTTCTTAGTCTTAGGATGTAGTTTAAAGTTTAGGGTTCCTGCAAGGGTTCCTGACTGAGGCTTCTATAATTGTCCACTTTCGGGATGTCCGAAATGGTGTCTTTAATGGTTTTGATAGGGGCTCTGTAAGGGGCGCATCATTTTGGGTTTAGAGTTTAGGTGGTTGGGGAAAAGGCTGGGGGTGTGGATGTCGTGATTATGTTGAGGGAGAGGCAGCAATGGGAAAAAAACAGCTTGACATCTGTTGCAGAGAATCCTTTTGACTGGACATGGTTTGCCTGAAGGCGCAGCATGTCCTAGGGTCTGCCGAGCATAGTGAACAATGTAGTTTCTTTGTACACATGTATATATTGTATATCTACATAATTATATAATGTTATATATATATATGTACATATCAGGTTCACAATGGGTACCGTACCCCTATGCATATTCACATACATGCATGCATGCATACATAAGTACATACATACATACCTACACTCCTACACACGCATACACACATACATACATACATTCACACACGCATATGTATATACTTATGTGTGTTTGGGATGTTCTAATGTCGCTTGGAAAGAAGCAGCCAAGGAGCTCGGCACGCTTCGCGCGAAGTTTGTTCGGCACTCAGCTGTGAAACTGAGCCACTTAGGATACAGGGGTTCCATGGATTTGCGACAAGATGCTCCGTTTGGACTCCAACAAATTACGTCTTAGTGTATACTGTAAACAATAAATGTCAATAACATATATGACACATATAGGACATTGACATAGAACGTATAAGCAGGAGCTCACTCTGCAGACGCTACGGTCCATCCTGGGCCTTGAGCTGAATTGCTCCTGGGCGGACATCGTCGCTTCCCAGCTGCACTGGGTGACGAGGGGCCTTCTGTGTGCTTAGAATACCTCATAGTTGAAGCTATCCACGGAAGTGATAGCCAATGCTAGAAGCATGGTGGACGTCGAAAAGTGACGGGGGCCTTGGCGAGAGTGACAGTTGCAGTGCCGTGCGTCGGCGGTGGCGATGGTGGTGGTCGTACTAGTAGCACCATCTGTAGTGCAGAGTGACAGCAGCAGCAGCAGCGGTAGCTGGAGTGGTGTTACTAGCACTGTAGCAGCAGTAGCAGCAGTAGCAGCTGTTGTAGTGGTAGTAGCAGTAGTAGTTGTTGTTGTAGTAGTGGTAGTGGCAGTGGTAGTAGAAGTAGTCGTAGGGGTTTGAGAAGGTGCCCGAGCAGGAGGCGGACAGCAGTAGCAAAAGCAAGGACATTAAATCATACGCTCTCTCGGCAGCCTAATCTAGGGGCCTTAATAACTACCTACACTATTTTGGGGGTTCCTCATTGTCATTCTAGTATAGTGGGCCCCAAAACCCTATTCTAATTATTAAGGACCCTGAAGTTAGTTTCAAGTCAAGTTGTCCAAGGAGCATGTAGAATTACTTGGACGGCTTGCCGATGGTCACAAGGGCCAAGACAAGTCCATCAAGGAGGGCCGCCAGTCTCGTACTCCGCGGTGCTTTGGTGTTAGTTGAGGGCATGTTGCAGTCTTTCCGTGGATAGCAAAGCTGTCTGAGACGACCAGAATATATGACTAGTGTCCTGTGGTGAGACTGTCGCGTCTTCCAGGCTCGTTGGTGGTTCACCCTCCCCTGTCGCAGCCTTTTAAAGATTTCCTGTTTGGGTCCAAGCGGCCTTCGAAATGCTCCCCCAGACAGGCATTCTGGCTGACACATGTTTGGGAAGGGGCGGCTGCACGGAAACACAGGCAATGCTTAGATATGACGAAGACATTGATCACTGGTGGCCACAATGGTGAATGGGAGAGCGGATGAGTCGAAGGGTCAGCAGGAAGACGAGGAGTATCAGAATGGAAATTATTGTCAAGAGCTGGCTCGTTAGGTTACAGGATAGAAGCTAGCTAGCAACCGTGCATCAACCTTCGCTTTGGAATGCTGCTTTCGCTTCTGTTTGTCCTGGACCCCGGTCTGGTTTGGACCGGTGCTTGTCGTCTGTCCCACAGCTGGTGCCTACTCGCAGGAGGAAGATGACGATGAGGAGAGTGAGGCAGAGGAGCTTCGACAGCTGCTCCTGCAAGCAGAAATGGCCCCTGAGCAGCAGTGGTTCTCGAATGTTTGCTTGGAAGCATGGCTAATGGGCGAGTATGCGATGATGTTAGACTTTGACGACTGAGAGGGTCCCCAGCTTCTAAGGACCTGGATGAAAAAGAGCAGCAGCTAGAAGAGCAATGCGCTCGCGTTCGGGACCTTTCTGATGTGCTATCCAAGCAACAAAATGCTCGCGACTCAGATATCCAGGAAACCACAAGCAATATAAGCAATAAGGTGGCCTGCATAGTGACCAACATTACCATGTAGGGAACCTTAGTATAATTAGCTTGTAGTCACACAACACACTCTGTAGTTCTGAGGGCCGCTATACTAACCTCGATGTAGCATTCCAGTCAAGAAGCAAGTGGCTGAATCCTGCCAACATGATGGGGCCTTCTCGAACTCAACCAGCTGCTAGTAAGCTCTGTCGCATTTCACAGCCCATGTTTGGGCCAACATCTGCGCTTCCAGGAACTTCCTGCGGCTTTTCATAATGGATGTCAAGTTGTTGTGCCTTTGCATGAACATCCGGCCAGGTCTTGGACATGACGCTCCGGCTAACTTTCACCATCCGACACGAAAGCACGTCAGTCGTTTGAAAGGTTTGCAGCCAAAGTGCCAGGCTTCCTCGCAGCACTTTGCACTTTGACAGCATGTGGCCAGGACATGTGCGCAACTGTCAAACCAAAACGAGCAGAAGGACTGCTGGCGAGGTCTAGCCGTGCTTTAGGGTTTTTGCTCAGCACAGCAACCCGTACATCGGGACAGCCGGGTCGTGAGCTGTTGACTGTGATCTGCTGTTCCCATGGTGGAGCCTTGCTGCGAGGATTTGGTGAGCAAGCAGCGGGAAGAGCTTCTCAGCCATGTCTTTGCTTTACCGGGGGTTTCCCGGGGCAGGTCGTGGTTGCCTTGGCAAGTACAGTTTCGGACACCTTCAGTCTCAGAAAGTCGATTTGATTTCTATTCATCCTGGGCCATATCGGTTGAATGGCAGGCTTCTGCGCACCACAGCTGACCGTGATCGGCTCAATGATGAGCGGAATCGCTTGCGCGAAGAGGCTGGTTGTTACGTAATCAAATAGGCTTGACACTGACGGCCCAAACAATGAAATGGTTTCGGCGGCTACCTGTGACAACTCCAAATGAATCGGCTGGATCACCAAATGCCCGGGAGCTGGCTGCTTGGACCTTGACTTCATGGACCGTTGCTGTGAGCACATAGGCTACGTTTCTTCTTTTCCTGTCGCAAGAACAGCCGTGGTTCATGCTCAGGCTAGCAAGACTTTGGCGCCACAGAAACAAGTCATAGTAGTTCGGCACGAAACCTCATCAAGGCGCAGCATTTCGGAGTTTTAGTATAAGAGTTGACGGCGCATGGGCAGCTGCAATGAATGCAGCGACTGCTAGATATCTGCGAGAGAGTCATACAATCAGTACAGTATCGGTGCATGCTAAATGGCGAATATTCGACATGTTCTGTTTAAATTTGCCTGCTTGCAGACACGCAAGCTGCGGGAGCTCAACGTGTTTCAGCAGAAGCATCTCCAGGAGAAGGAGCCCCTTGCGACGAAAGATTCCGCAGCAAGCAGCAGAAGCCCAGCTTCCATGACACGCGAAAGAAAGTAATATAGGGGCCTCAATAATTACCTATACTATTTTGGGGGTTCCTTAGTATAACTAGTATAACTATTAACTATGGTGCAATGGGCCCCAAAACCCCATTCTGATTCTTACGGCCCCTGTAGTAGCTTCTGTTGTACCGCATCCCACAGACTAGCCGCAGGAGAGTCAACTGGCTATAGCCGAAGCCTCTCTGGTGGAGAAGCACACAAGCCTGGCAAGAAGGCCGACCGTCCCATAGAGCTCCCAGCCTTAAGTGTTAAGGCGGGACTTTGTTTAAGTTTTCCAAGCCCGGATGCCAAGGCAAACTGCCCCTTGACAGTTGGGAGAAGATGTAGAACATGTCTGTTGTGGTTTGGATGCTGACGCGTGGACCGTGAGAAGTCTGCAGACGGGCTTGCATTTGGCCAGGGAGCAAGAGCTGGGAGACCTCCAAGCTGATCACGAAAGACAGCGAGCGGAGATCGAGGCTCTGGCGTTCAACGGATCATCTAAAGTAGACTCTAGGCCCTCTAGGCAGCCATGCAAGGAGCTTTGCGACGTGGTCGCCTCGCGCGATGACGAGGCCGCGGGCTGCAGCTCACTCTGCAGCTCGCAAAGATGCCCTGGCACGAACCAGGTGGACAGAATACGCTCGCAACTCGAAGTCTACGAGGACCGGCAGTGCATGCTTGTGACAAGCGTAACCAGCAAGGATTCGATAAAGGTGGCCAGCCATCGATGTCCAAGAGCAGGAACCGTACTTTGGTGCCAACTAGTACCGCTGTAGTAACCCGTATTCTCAACCTTATCATACAACTGCTTCCAATCCCGTATAGTATCCAAGCCACGGAAATCTTCTGATGGCAAAGGCTGCAGAGAGGAGGAAGCACAGCCGAGTCCCGAGTGTCGGTGCTAGCAGCGATAGTAGAGAGCTCAGCGTTCAGGGCCAAAGATCTACACCCAATCTTGGGATGCTGCATTCGGAAACGGCACGTAGATTCAGAAGATGTCCGGGTGCCCAGCAGCTGCCGTATATTCTGAAGCATATAGTCTCTCAGGGACTCGGCCTTCGAGAAAGCAGGATTTGGTACATGGTCGTGTTGAAGTCCACCCGTCGAAGCTGTGCTAAATACAGCTTCTGTTTCCTGAAGCTAAGGCTACCGTCCTGGCCCTTGCGATGGCTCCTTCGTTGGCCGCCTGGCGTGGCTCGGAGCCATTTGACCGGGTTGCATGAGAGGATGTGGCGGTGAAAGGGCGGATCGCTCATCGTCTTAATGCGATGCTGTATCTGCTGGAAGCTGATGTTTCATGATGTTTGTGAGTACTGTCGTCGTCAACAGCGTTGTTGCCGTTCTGTTGCTGGCCGTGCCCCTGGTTACGATGGTTGGTTGCAGCTGCTTTTGCTGCTGATGTTGTTGGAGCCGGCCTTGGTTGTGGTTCTTTTTGTGACACTATCCCGTTGGTGTTGTAGGCGAGAAGGGGCTTCACACGTCTTTCTTGCGGTGCAGGTCCTCTCGCAGTGGGCCACTGGAAGATACTGGCTCCGGGCCGCTCGGCTGGAGTTTTGTACCGGACTTCTGCAGACTACGGCTCTGGCAAGGCGAATCAAGGCGAGCTTGTTTACTACACTGCCAAGCAACACGAGAAGCGTTGCAACAACCCAGATTGCCGCTGCTGGTGGTGTTGCCACTCGCGGATGCTAACTTCATTGATGTCGTTTTTAGTCGTCGTGGGCGTTTGTTTGCGTAGTCGTAGCAGTAGTTGTCGTCGTGGTGTTGGCAATGGCGGTGCTGGCGGCGGCAGTGGCAATGGCAGCGGGAGGAGTAGGAGTAGCAGCAGGAGTCGGAGTAGGAGGAGTAGTCGGGGTAGTAGTACTTGTTGTTGTTCTTGTACCAGTAGCAACAGTGGTAGCAGCGGTAGCACTGGATTAGCAGCAAGAGGGCTAGTTGCAGTTGTAGTAGCTGCGGTTGTAGTCGTAGTCGTAGTGGTAGCAGCCGCAGCAGCAGCAGCCGCAGCAGCAGCAGCAGCAGTAGCAGTTGTTGTCGTAGTCGACGTCGTCGCAATAGTAGTAACAGTCGTCGTCTCCGTCGTATTACAAGGACGACTTCGATGACGACGACTACCACCTCCCCTACTACAACTACCAGCAACTACTACTACTACCACCACCACCACTCGTTTGGTGTTATGGAGTTCCCTGAGTGCTTTGCATCTGGTAAGATGATAGTCCTTGGGCCGCTACCATCACATGCCCATGCTTACAGAATCCCAGAATCGTTTATTTCAATCGACTGCTGTTCGAGCCTCCATGTTCCAGAGACGTTGTGTCTCAGCCACAGCCTGAAATCTCTGGAAATTCTCTGCCTGCAGGGTCCTGATATAGGGGCCTTAGTAGTTGCCGATACTACTTTTGGGGATTCCCTCTTCTAATTATAGTAAGAACGGGCCCCAAAACCCTATTCGAATTATTAAGGCCCCTACAGTAGCCCGCACAGAGCACAGGCCTCCTTCCTCCGTTAGCTCCGCGTATCCCTCCGCGCGGGGTTCCGCGCCGAGGCGGGGGGGGGGCCCTCGGATTGGGCTTAGGGTTCAGGGTTTAGGGAGCTGCTTCGATCATTGTGGTAGGGTTTCTACGGATGAACAGATGGATGGAAGGATGGCCACACAGCAGGAATTTCCGTGGTGGCATTATTCGCCTGGAGCCCGCAACAGTGGTTATATAAGCTGGAGATTCGATGACAGGTACAATGACTCTGTACCGTCCACACCGGGAGCGTGACTCCCAGCTGTACGGGCTTGCTCATTGCTCGGATTCGCAGCAGATCGAAACCGCACCGCTGCTTACATGTATCACAAGTAGATAGAAGAGGATGGCTTGCAGCTGGCAGTGTGATCTGGACCGGTGTGAAGAGATCGTTTTGAGCCATGGGGACTATAGACGCCATGTCAGCAAAGGGAGCTAGAAGGAAATCTGGGGCCGAAATCCTGCATGCACCCTTTTCTGTCTCGTTAGCTTTACGACTGGGAAGCCTTAAAGAAGGGTATTTGAAGGTATCTGAATGCGCAGTCATGCTATCCCCTTGAGAGTCCCTATATTTTAAATGCGATGGTCATTGAGGCACCTTCCACAAGTGAGTCTTTTGAAGGAGCCCTGTTCAAATCATTCAGGCCCCTATTCGAGATCTTATGCTAGCCCTTGTAGACCCACTGGGAGCCAGGAACACGGACCCAAAATTGGTGACAACCCAACCGTATTTGTGAGAGTTCCTTACTGTACTTAGAGTATAGTATACCCACAAACTATTTCTCAAGGGCTTATACTATAGATCCCTTGAAGGAACCCTTATAATACCCCTATTCTAGTAATTATCACCCTTATAATGCCCTCTAAAGGAACCCTAGTGGTTCCTCTCTCTGGGCCAAGGCGCAGAGCCCTGTCACCTCTTCTCTCCGGCGGCCAATGCGTCCGAAGCTCAGCCATAGACGAGGAATACACGGGCCTCCATACAGAGAATACGGTTTTATGGGGTTTCCTGCAACAGGTTGTGACAGAAGACACGAGTGTGCTTTTCAAGGTGGTTCATAAGTTGCTCTTTCAATGATTTCTTGAAGCTGACTGTGCGCTGGGCAAGGGATGAAATAGCAGATTTCAGAACGAGTACATGCCTCTATCCTGAGAGCAAGCTCGCACACCCAGTGTATACCAAGAACAAATCAAATGCTTCACTCGCCATCGAGGTGAGTATAAACCTGTGCTCCTGCGGGAAGGCGAAACCAATCCTTGTACCTGAATTGGCGAATGTCGTCCTGCAGTCGACGTTCGAGACTCCTTCAGGTCCGGTGCTCTCCATGGATCGCGATGAACGTGCTGCGTCAGCCTTCTCAGCCCTTCGAAGCTTGACAACCTCCGAAGCACAGAAACATCAGCACCATCTGCAGGTTTCTGTCCCACTTCCCGATGGCCTCACGAACGGAGAGGCTCGGTAGTACTCTTCATGGTAGCCTGGTAGTAGCATCCTCTACTCCTCTACTGCCATCTCACTTCAGCCAGCTGCCCCCTCGAAGGCTCATGCGCAGCCGCATCGATGGCAAACGCTGATCTTATCTTTCGATCGTAAAAAGATGAAGATGCTCAGCCTGGGTATAGTCAGAGAACCTTCGTGTGCCGATGAATATTTACTTAGGACCATAAAGCCGCCAGGTATTGGCGCACTTGCATTCATCCAACCATGCTAAAGTTCGGGAATCTCGAGCTCCCTTTGCCGGACTGTTTGCTTCGGGTTTAGGATTTAGGAGGGGCTACTCGCTACTTTTCTTCGCTTGAAGGCTTGTGTCGCGTCTAAGCCTCCACGCCATGCTCCCTTTGCGCCTTCTTCGAGGCTGCATGCAAATTTCGTACATGTTCGGCCGCACGCACAGTGCCAATATCTAGAGTGAGATAGAAGAAGTACACAGAAAGCACATATTTAAGGAAGCTGGCCCGAAGCAGACATCAACCAAACACGAATCCAGACGCGAACCAGACGCGAACCCGGACACGAACCAGACACTAACCAGATCCTAACCAGACACGAACCGGACACGAACCAG